TCTCTCTCTCTCTCTCTCTCTCTCTCTCATTGTCTGTTCAATACTACTTTTTATTACAACAAAACAGAGACTCGATTCACAATTTATCTTAATTTCAAGACAACCCGTGTTCACAACACAATCACTTTACCATACATTTCAAAATAATATTTGAATTTAAGTTGTGATCACAAGTCACTGAATATACTGAATAGTGTGTATGTATAGAGTTTTAAAGTGAATGTATCGATATTTTTGTCGCTATAGTTACTCGAAAAACACATATAAGAAGATTATTGAGAAACAGATGAACAGATTTTGCATCTCATTTATTGTCTCCCTTTGTATATATAAATGAGTGAATAAGCAGTAAAACCCTCTTTATGTCATCTCATTGTAATCTCAATAAAATTCTGCATTAAACTAATTGACATTTTGTTAATTAAATCATTAAATGAATATTTTAGTAGATTTTTCAAAACTCATCAATTAATATCAATTTAGTGATTGGTTTTTAGATGCGATATAAACTGAATATTAAATATTAAAAAGCATTTTCCTTATTAATTAGGCATATATTCTGTAGTGAAAGAAATATATTCAAAGTGAGAGGCGATGTGTTATATAAGAGATGAGATGTTGTTTTTTGGCTGAAAGCATCTCGAAATGCATGATTACTATGAGTTATATTCACTCATTCGTCTCACTCATGCTCTTCAGCCCTCATCGCCTTCTTGTGGCACTTCTTTGCCATTCGTTAAGTGATTTGTTTCATCCTTTCAACCATTTCTAGCGTCGATCACATGCTTTGCTAAAGAAATTGCATTATTATTCCCATCACTAAAAATAATTCTCTAATTGTTTGACGTTTTGACAAAATTAAATATTTAAACTATAATTGAATTAAATTGATATAATATTAGGGTTTGTGTTATGATTGCTGACTCTTATCATAATAAATGATTTGAATAAAAAGCAATGATTATGTTTTGGTAATGATATAGAAATGTGATGACAATGTATTTGTCGGCCGACGTAATGACTTAAATGATTAATCAATAGGAGATTGGGTTGTATTGCATGTTATGCTTGAATAATGAAAGCAAAAGCAACAAAACATTTGGTACTTATATTATTAGGTAAAAGGAGAGCTCTATTTGCTTTGATTTGTCTCCTAATTAAATGAACAGCGATTGGAGTTTGACAGAAAACAAATAGTTTGCACGCAATTGGCCTCTAATGCAATCCAATACACTGTATGGCTGTGTATGGCTATAGTGTACTGAATAGTGTATGTCTATAGTGTCGCCGCATTTTTTATTGATATTGATTGTCGACTGTCGGCTGTCAGACGCTTTAAACCTTAATGCCTGGCTGTCGTGTCAGACCAGCACCAGAGCACCGGCACTACATGTTTCTTCTCATCAATTATGGTGTATATAAAGCATGAATCGAGTCTATCATTAACAGCCAAATTGCACATCATTTCCATCCTATTCTACATAAATACCGGCTTTTATACCAAAACGCTAAACACAAACCAACAAAACAAAATCAAACTCTGTTTCTCTCTTTTTTCTCTTTCTCTCTCTATCTTTGTTTTTTGAATGTTTGCGAAAAATATATTATTTTCATAATTTATTTTCGTTTGTGTCAAATAAAATATATGATCGCCTCGAGTGATGAATGCTTTCAATGCCTCCAATGCTTTCCACAACAATTATATCATTTATTATTCAACAACTCTTAACACGTTTGTAAAACTCGATAAATTTGAGCACAATATTAACTGAGAATATAAGTTATATACAGGGGCTGTGATAGTAGGGGTTGGGACTCGGGTTGGGGTCGGCGAGTGTCTCAAACCTGAAGGTTGTTATTTTTATAACAACTTTGAATCAACACTATTATCGCATAAAAATAACAAAACAAAATAATCTTCTTTTTATTCCGTACTGAAGACATGCCTTAGAGTTGATTTTGTTTTGTTTAATGTTTGCTTCAATTTATAAATGGATTAATACAACGATTTTCAATGAATCTGACCCTTGGTTTGGAGTATTGTTATACACATTGTATGTACTGTTCCTTATGTTTCCAACAAATATTGGATATTATTATCCCAACCGATCGATCAGTTATTTTGGCCTAAATCTCAATTTAGAGTATAGTTTAATAATTTTATTGAATGATTAGATGATATATTGAATTGAAGAGCAGATGAATGAGTGAACTGTACTTATATTTGGATAAAAAAGAATTTTCAAGAGAAGCTAATAATTGTAATGATTTTGTCGGACATTTATATACCGGTAATACTAGAGTTTGTATTGAGTATATGATAGCGTATGCAATAATGTATACTGTATTATGTTCTCGTCGTATGCAATACTTATCTCACAATCTCTCTCTCTCTCTCTCTCTTTCTCTCTCTCTCTCTCTCTCTCGAGTCGGGTTCTCAACAGCCTTTGGACTCATTAGTATCCGAACCGAAAGACAACTCTCTCTCTCTCTCTCTCTCTCTCTCTCTCCCCCCTCTTATCCAATGTTAGCGAACACTTGAGACACAGAACTCTTGTTGGCCTAAAAGCACTTGAGTTTCAGGATCTGTGCACTGGTATAGTGTTGGGTAGTGTTAAGTCGCGTCGACATAAGTGCGTGCATTCACTGCACTTAACAAATACTCGAGTGCTTCAGATAACTAGAGATACTTGAGATATACTCGAAGAATAGTGACTGTATTATACAGTAAGCGCTAACAGCTCTCGGCTCAGCTCACGGCTCAGCTCAAGCACCCGATCCTCTATTATTCGCTCAAAGGCTATCTCTAATGCACACATAAGTATAGACTTTGTTTCCAATCAAATACAGTATAGCACTCGTTATTCATACTCATCCACAATACCCTTTACCATTGACCTCCAAATTGTCGTCAAATTGTTTAATTATTTACTAATTTAATTGAATTTCTAGACAATTTCTATGTTATAATCCGTTTAATATGCTTTAATATATTTGAAATTAGTTATTAATGAGAATATTCTGTAAATACATTTGGATGTGATATGATTTAATGCATTATCTGTTATTTAGTACAATATTTTATTATTGTTTAATTAATAGTTAATTGCTATGATTTTAGTAAAAATATTGCAACAAAGTGTATAGCATTTTGAATGGTTTTACAGTAATTACTAATTAGTTTCAATTACACGAAAACATATTTATGTGATGTATTAGCGGTTTATATAGTTATGAATGGCATAATTGCCACACTATTAGCGCAAAACATATTCATTGAAGCGGTTTATATTGAAATGCAATGAATATTATGTATGAATTATAGCGAAATAACCCGATTATTAGGCGGAGTGGCGGTCGAGTGCGTCGACTCCATCCCCGACAACAACTGCACGTTTTCAGTGAAGACCAGTCTATGAGTGACAGCCATTCTGTTAGGATGTGCTTCTCTTCTCCTCTCTATCCCTCTTTAATGTATTATATTTAAAGATATAGTGGTTTAGTGTTGAGCCAAATGATGATAACTGTCGCCAATGAAAATAGGATTACTAGTCATCAACTTTATGTCCGGTAATTATGATTGACATCAGTTGTTAACAAATGGAGAATTACTTGTTATATACTGTATAATGTTATATAATGTGTATATTTCTCTCTTGTGCCTCACATTTCACCAACAAATGCATTGAATTTCTATGAATATGGATATGAGCACAGGTTATCCGCTCTCTGTATATCATTACTAATTATTATCTCAATTACTTGAGACTAAGAAACTCAAGAGTAATGCCATTTTGGTAATACTCGATGATATGGTTTTATCTTTTAAGGGTATCTGTAATGTCGACAAATCCTTTACAGCACAGGAATGTTGAGCCGACTCTTCAACTCATAGCCCTAACTATTGATTTGATATCATTCTCCTATCGATACTATGAAACCAATTATTCAACATTTAATTGTTGTTCATTGAAGTGAAGTAATTTATCATATTTAATGTCTTGATATATCATTCACTCAATTACTACTAATTTGTGTGACATTTGATAATCTCAACGACTTTTCTTATAAACATTTTTGTGCGAAATTAATTAAAAATATAAGTTTGTTGAATATTTTGCTACGAAATTCTCATTAATGATTGATTCTAATGTATTTAACAATCCATGACTTTAAGTGTTTTGTAATATTAATACATTGTTAACGATAAGTCGTTAAACCGTATAAAACAATCATTTTGTTTGTGCCGATACTCTCGCTCTCCCTCTTTGCCTTCATTTGTGTGTATCGTCTGATGTATTCGTGAACAGCCATCAGATCTCCTGAGGGTTTGTGGCAACTACTGGTCCTATTGGTGTTGTGGCACATCCTATATATCGGCTGTTCCGTACGCTTTTGCTTAGCCCTCTCTTACATACCATTAAACATAATTAAGTAAAAACACTTTTATCGCAACCATCTGTTAAATCAAATATATTTTGGTCCATCATTTTGTGACTTTAAAATCATATCAAAAATCATTCAAAAATTATTTCATACATTATATGTCATAAAAGAGTTTCATGTCTTATCGCGAAAATACATTAAATGTTTTGTTAGTAAATCGATTGAGTGTTTAAAGTTTCCATTAGTTCGTCAATTTAATGCTCATTTAAAACCTCTTAAATACTAGATTGACATTTAAAATGAGATAATTTGTGATAAGTTTTTTAAATAAACTCTCATGTCATGAATAGTCAAATGTTTGGACCAGTTTTGCTAATTCTTATACATAAGACGAGAATCTAAAGATTTGTTTTCATATTTATGCCATATTATCAGCTCTTTATAGCAAATTATTTATTCAAACAAAAAATATTTACACTAATGAGCTATAAAGCGATTAATTCTATATTTATATAACTTGTATTAAATAGCATATAATATTAAATAAAAATATTATGCATATGCTTATAATTTGCATTTAATATTAAAATCTAGCAGTAATATTTAGCGCTAAAATGATCATTCTTGAAGTACTGGCTGTGATTACCATTAAATATAAGACAAATGCAATAAATAGTTATTTATAAGAATCGTGTTTATGTTGTATTGAATACAATAAAGCGACAAATTTTAATCAAATAAAAACTAGAACTTTTATTGTAAACACGAAAATAATATTATTTGTGTATTTGATGACAATATAAAGCCATTATATTAAGTGCATTATTGTTTTGTTATATCTATTCTCATATGAATTGATTCATTAAATTAATTCATTTTAACAATAATTTGTTTTAACAATTAAACCATTGCTTAAATATTTTATTATTAAACACACAAATAATTGTTTTCTTGATTTACTACACAATATATACATTGAGTATATTCTTACCAAATGTTTATTCCCACTCTTGTCGTGTATATTATGTAATACTTTTAATTTAATGAAATGATTATTTATGTCATCTATTTATCCAATTATTAATTTAAAATATTTTAATACGAATTGTTTATTCACACAAAAACAGGTGGAAAACAGTGATTGTGTTGAAGAGAGTGTAGGCGTCGGTCAGGAAGATAAGGATTCACTGGAAGAAATCAATAGCATATCATTGACTGCAAATTCTTCCTCCCTATCGGTTGGACTCAACCATTCGAGCGGTTCATCCGTTTCTGATTGCGATAAGAGATTGTCGATAAAAAGCCTGAGCTCTACATCTAATGACAGTTCTCTTTCTTCGTCGTCCACCTCTTCAGCGACTCTGCCTTTAAATAGTTCTGACGTCGAAAGTGGTGAACAACAGAGTGATAGCCATAATATAATTAGTGTTGACGTGAAAGTTGACAGTCTGTCCGATGGGCCGACCACTTGTTCTTCATCCAAATCGCCTGCACTCGCACTCATTCCTCCCAAACCTAATCACGAATTAACACAAACATCGCCTTCACTCCCATCTGATTCGGTGACAAAAATCAACTCAATTGCACCCGAAGTGTGCGTCCAAACCCAGTCCACACCCAAACCTATCTGCAGTCCTGATGTGAAGCTCCCATTAGTTGTAGATCTCGAGTCGGGTTCTCAACAGCCTTTGGACTCATTAGTATCCGAACCGAAAGACAAGACACTCAACGGATACGAACGGACATATTCTTCACATTTCATTGAATCGGTTCTTCGCAATACCAGCCCTTCAGAGCAATGCAATGCCCGCACCGGTGAGTCGGAAAGGACTCCATCGGTGGTGAATCACACGCTCGCGACGTCTCCATTGAATAATAAACTTGAAAACAGTAATAAAGAGAACAATTCTTACGATTTGGACAGAATCTGTCCGAAAGCACCGAAATCTACCTCTAGTTCTGCTAATAATTGTAATAACTTTCACATTAATTCATCAAATGTTTCCAATTGTGTTAAAACTGTAGTTAAAGACACGGTTAGTGTAGGCGTCAAGAGGACAGCCTCACCGCCGCTCTCTAATCAAAGTACTGCCGCCAAACAGAACCGTCACTCGAGTCCTAACAATCAAAATAGTTTCGATTCTTCACTTAACTCTCCATTACATACGAGTGCTTCACAACAACAACACTCCAGTCTTCGGGGCCCTAATTGCCTCTCAAGTCTTAGTCATTTGAGTCAATCAATTGGTCAGAACTTCAATACCAGTAAAGATCGGAAAGAGTCGTCGAGTATCGGCGCCGTCAGCACTAAAAGCACGAGTTCTCGCACCACACCATCCGTTACCGTTTCAAACACTTCGTCCGAAAATACTTATCCAAACAACTATTCCACTCCTAAAAGTCATTTGTGGTCGTCTTCAAGGTATTCATTTCTATTATACGTAAACATAACGAATCCATATTTATTTTATAAAACTGTCTATTAGTTCCAGTACTGGTCTGAATGGTAGTTCTGTGGCCCACTTGTCGCCATCAAATCTGACGCCGCGTTCGGCCACTCCTAACATAGGAATACCATCATCAGTACACAGCAATCACTTGGGAATGTTTGCTTCACCCCTCCCTCCCTCACCGCTATCGTCAGTAGGGGGTGCAGTGGCCCCCTCTGCCACCCCTTCACCTTTTATTGGAGATTCACTATTTTCAGTTCACCAAAGTCAGTTCATCGCTATATCCACATTTGTGTCCACAATTTAACATTCATTTCTCCGCAGACCAAGACTTCTTGAGACGTGAATTGGACACAAGATTTTTGGCCTCATTGGACAGGACTATAAATATTCCTCCACCGCCTTATATGAGGAACGAAATGCATCAACACATACCTGTGCCACAGAACCAACCCTTTCCAATGGCACCAACCATTACCAACTCTTTAGTGCCGCAAACGAACCCACATTTAGCGGTATTTTTAAACTAAAGTCGATATAATTATCATTGAGTGACTAATGTTTGTATATATTAATTAGTACCCAAAACTGGATCAGACATCGGCTTACTTTAATCGCAATCCTATGGGCCTTCCGGGCTTTCCTAGTCTATCGCCGCTATTAACTCCTGGAGGTTCGGCAGTAACTCCACAACCAGGAGCTCTGACGGCCTCATCCAACACCCCTTTTGGACCGCCCGGCCATTTGGCGGCCTTTCAGCCCAAGGTTTGACTTATTATTGTTTTAAAATAATTTACAAATTATTAAAACTAATCACTATTTGATATTAATTTTAGATGAACTCATTGTCCACTAAAACGAAACCTTCAGCGGTATGTCTGCGATAAATGGAGAAAAGAGTAATGTTTGAAATCTAATCTCATTGTTTACTTTGCAACAGAAGTCCGGGCGCTGGTGTGCAATGCATGTGCGGATTGCATGGGAGATATACCATCACCAACAGAAACAACAACTAGATTTGCCTCATAAGAGTGGCATCCCTTCGACGCCGTCTAAGAGTGGATCAGATCTGCTCCGACCCCTTAACCATATGTTTTCATTGGGACCGCGACCTCAAGACCTGCCGCCCTTCTCGTCACCCATATTAGGCGCCGCCTCTCGCGCGCCGTTTGACTCTCCACTGCCTTCACATCACAATCAATTTGGATCAACGCCTCCATCACCTCATCTCTCATCCCGAACAACGAATTTCAATCGTTTTCCATCGTTTGGAAACTTTAATTCTTTAAGTTTGCCTCAAGTGACGGGCCCTCCGAACCCTTCTGGGACTCTGTTTGGTCCGACACCTATATCTGGGGCAAGAGATCTGCCAATTCCTGGATGTCTGCCCGGATTGAGTGCCTCAGGACCTGATATTTGGTCCAGAAGTGCATCGACTCGTCCGACGTCTGCACTGTTTCCTCCGTTAACGGCGTCTACATCTTCGAGCACTTCCTCGTCTTCGTGGGGAGGACTGAAAGCAGAGGGCGAACGCAATCGACTCACTGATGACTCGTATCACAAACGCAAACACTCAGAGACTGGCGATAAAGAGGCCAAACGTTTCGAAAGAGACAAATCCAGAAGTGATGACAAAATCGAAGCCAAACATAAGGATCAGTCAAATAGTCATAAACACAGTTCCAATTCATCGCTATCTTATTCATCGAGAAATGGAGACATCTTTGCAGATAATAAGAGCAAAGATTGGGTTAAAATGAATTCTAAAAGAGATTCTTCGAGTTCACCACTTCATCGATCACATCATTCATCGCATAGCCATTCGTCACATCAGTCACATCATAGCCATAGTCATCATCACAGCCACAGTCATATCCATAACCAAAGCCATAGCCATAGCTCGACAAAGAATTCAAACCCCGATATGAGTGCCTTCGATAACAACAATAGATTGAGTTCTGTTGGCGTTAAAGACGAACAAAGAGATGAAAACGGCTTAATGTCTGCCAGTGATAGACAGACCCGGTTTGTGTCCGATCCAAATGATCCTAAGGGTAGGACTAGTTCTGTGCCAACAATTGCCACATCGAGTGCATCCAATCTTCTCAACTCGTCGTCCACTTTAGCGGCAATGGGTTTGAATAATTCGTTAGAAAAGGCTCGGCTTATGGGTCTGTTTGGCGGCATTCACGGCACTCCCCCTCCGGTGACCTCCCATTTCAATGCTAACAATTCGTATTGGAATCCATTGATGCCTCCCGTTGTCGACCCCTTCAAGAGTTTACACGAATTACAAGTGAGACCCGATTTTTTAGACAGAGAAAACATTTTCCAGAGGTATAGCCTCTTGAACTCCTCGGGCGGCGGCGCCTCTCTTATGGAACGGTTAGCCAAAGAGAGCGCCGAAAAGGAAATGTTAAGCCATTCGATAGAGAAACACAACTCAAAACTCATAGCTTCTCACATGCGATCCAATGACATGTCTTTCACATCTGGTCTTCCGGGCGGTCATAATCCTCGGACTCCTCTCACATCACACCCACACATAGCACCCCCTCCTCAGCCGTCAATCCCTTCGTGTTCGTCGTCCAACATATTTCCCGCAAATCCCTATTTAAATAGTTTGCATTCATTGAGTGCGAGCGCCGGCCAATACATGAAGGCCAATAAGACGGCGATTCCAATGCATACGTCCTCCTCGTCCTCGTCATCATCCGAGACGTCATCCCCTTCTTTGGGTTCTTTGGGTCCGACGAATGGCACAACACTTCCAGCACTTATACCCCACATATTAAACCACTCGACGGCAAACATAGCGAACTCTAAGTTATCGATTGGTTCCCTAATTGAGAGCCAATTGGATGCCATTAATTGTAAGGCCAGTGAATCGAAAGCGCCGACCACTGGACTCGTGGCCAGTAATGGCAACACAAGTGATGTCGAGATATTAGAAACTAATTCAAGATAGCTATCGATTAGATATGATCTCAAAGCCTAACAAATACTTACGAATTGACAGAAGAGACTAATTGACTGATAATTGGAGGCCTTCTCTACCATTCATTGGAATAGTTATGCCTTTTATGACAATTGAATCATAATTTCTACAAAAAATATGACAATTGAGTGGATATTCGTCGCTAATTATGTGCTTAAAAAACACAAAAACAATACTAAATATAAATGGATATAAATATACATTAAAATAGAGTGCAGTTTTGAGTTAATAAATTAATTATTATTTATTATTAGTTCGTCTCTAAAGACATGTAAATACTAAAGCAATCATGAATTCAAGTGTTTGTCATTTCACTGCACATCAACTCTCATCCCTCTCTATCTCTCTCTTTCTCTTCACGACTAAATCTGAAACAGATTTCTGTAAATAATTATAATATTTCTGACAAACGATTGAAAAGATTATGTGATTTTAATTTCTCCTTTCATTTATTGGAAAAATGTTTTTTATAATAATTTTAAATCCTATTTATTGTTGACATATATTTCGTTGACTATTCGTTGTCTGTATTGTAGAGCCGATCGAAACGAATGCATATTTAATATTATTAATTAATTATTACTTATTATTATTATTATATAAACATTTGAAAGATTTTTTAAAAATACATTTTTATTATGCATTTGGTTTCCAAAGTGTAGAATAACTGTATATTAATATGTGTTTCAATTTTTTGCTATCAATTGAATGCGTTTTTTCAATATAATTGTAATTAATATTAAATTTATTATTAAAATTAGGAGACATTCAGTTCTTTATATTCATTTTATTCATTCATTCAAAACCTTTAAAAATACTAACAATTTGTTGATTTGGAATTGAAAACAAATATCACTTCGTTTTCTATGGATTCAATTATCATATCATTGTTTGTCTGTAATTCTGTTACAAATGCATCATATCTTGAGATTCAAAACCGTGGGCTAAGGAATTGGATCAACAAAATATACACAGTATTACACACTTCATAACTCGTCGACAGATATGACACTTTTTTGTTTAAATATAGCAATAGTTTGTTACAAATATATTCATACAATCAACTGATATTTAGTAACAATTAATACATGAATTTTTGGGCAATTCCCCAATTAAATCACTTAATACAATCGGGAATTGCATACCATTACTAATGGTCCATTAGATATACACAAATACATCACTTTTTCCCCAATTTTGGCTAATTTTGAAAAATTCATTTTATTCCAAATCTGTCCGAAAAACAAAATTTTAATGAAAATACTGAAGAATATTGTGTTTTAGACTAAAAACATAAATTGTTTCTAAATTGTTTGCAAAACAATATTGACGTCCAATAGGTATTGTAATTTAAAAACAGGAGTTTACAAGCATTACAAGCATTATTCCAATTCTTGCGTCTATGGCTGCAGTAAAATTGTATTATAATTTGACCGTATTATAATTTATATTTCGAAAATGTAAAATCACTCTACTTTATCTAAAATCACTAATTTTAATTGACTGATTAATATAATATTCATTTGAATAAAATTAATAATCAATTTCCAAGTGATAGAACTTTAAAAGTTGTATTCAAATGTTTAAATTTGCCATTTTATTGCCCAATTTGACCACTTTTACACCCGATTCTGGTCCCAATTTGGGTGTTTTGATTGCACAAAAATGGAGTCTCAAATCAAAGTAATAACCAATGGTTTTATGATTTAATTAAAGATAATGTCGTTGAATGAGTTGTCCAGTGATAGTAAACTCACAATAGATAAGTTGTGGACATATGAGTGAATTGATTACACAATCATTTGAATCAATTTAATCAGTATTTATTTTCATTGAATCAAATATACTGAACATATGCTGTGATATAATTTGTTGTTAGAATACATTAAAGTTCAAATGACATTCACATTAAAGTCAACTGAATTTATTTAATACATAAAATTCAATGATTTGTTTCAATATATCAATTCATTCACGTGTTGTTCATTGAGTCAATCAATTGATTGAAAAATATAATTCAATATTTTTGTTTCAAATTAAGCTTTTATTGGATTTAAAATTTTAAAAACAATACTAATGTCTATTTTTTGGGCAAAAAATTTTGATAAATTTTAGTCAATTTCTAAATAAAATACTATTAAATATAATCTGATTGAAAGCTATAATCAAATCGATAATTAATATAAAAAGATACGAAACAATAGGACTTAAATGATATAATAAAGTACTA